CTCCTCTACCTCGTGATGTTACAGGAAGGAGTGGAGAGTCAAAAGTACTCATAATGGAGAATGTCAGAGTCTGGCTTCCCAATACTCAACTGTGCTGTTCACAGTGTAACAGTGATGTTCTCCTGCCATAAAAGGAGCCAAGGAGCTGTATTCCATTTGTCCAGCACAGAAGACTTGGTTCCTAAACATCTGTTAGTTTCCACTCTAACAACATTTCTCATTTTTCCCAGAAAAGCACTTTCTTCTGCTTTGATCTGGGGGTGCCAGGGTGATACAAGAAATGACCGAGGGGACCAACTGAGGAATTTATCCATGGGGAAAATCATTTCAGGGAAGACATCTTCATCCTCAGGAAAAGGGTAAAAGGCTCACCACATCATGTAGGAACCACCACAGTGGCAAGAACTGTCACACTGAAGGAGGAGCTGGCTAGTGGGGAGCAGTAAGATCATGTGAATGGGGCCTCTCCTTCTCAGTACCGTATCACACTGTACTCATCCGCCTCCTCTTGTGATGCTGTGAGAGGGCCATTGTCTATGGGATGCAGTGAAGTCCAGTGAAGGATGCAGGGATTTGGGCTCAGTATTTGGCTACTACATGATGGGTACTTAGCACAAGCACTGCAGTACTGTGATGGTTAATCTGATAGCCAAGATGGTTCCTAAAAGAATAGTGGGTAAGTTGCACAGGCAGCATGGCTGTGTGGGACAAAGAAATGATTTGTGTCTTGGGTGGGACAGAGTGGGCAGGTGCAAGATTTCATCACACTACTCAGAATGGTGCACCATGGGAAACTTATGAATTGCTTCTTTCTGGCATTTTCCATTTAATATTTTCTAATTGGGGTGGGTAAATTAGTGGTGGACCAGGAGACACTGTGTATGTGTGTGTATGTAAACAGCAATAGATCCCAGAGTCAGACTGTGGTCAACTCCTGGCTGTCAACCATGTGACTGAGCTGCTCTGGGCTATGGTTCCTGCCTCTTTTAACAGGAGGCTAACGATGCTGTCTCCCTCATGGGCAAATTATGAGGACTGAATGCAAGCACAGATGTTTATGTTCCATATATTTCCAAAGCAAACAACACGTTTACTTTGTCAAGCACAACTGAGAAGAAAACAGGTTCAACTGATTTATTTCCTGCAGGATTGCACAACTGGAAGTGTTGACACCCCTTCAGACAGGAGGATGATGGGTAGCAGTTCGAGAGTCTTTTCTCCCAGAGAATCCTGTGGGACAGAAGTAGAAGAATTGGCTAGGAAAGGAAACTAGCTGATGGGGACCTACTGCATGAGGATGAAGGCTTAAAAGGATAGCAGTGCTGTTAGGAGAGGATGGAGAGTGGACTCTTTTATTACATACCTGGACTGTGCCAATGCTGTGTGGAAGTTTATTTACCTTATTCTTTTAATCCAACACAGCCTTGTGAGGCTCATATGCTGCTCATTTTGTGAGTATGGAATCAGGGCTTTGCAGAGATAGAGTAACCTGCCTCATTTCCCCATGGTGGGTTTCAGGGCCAGGAGGGCTGCTTCTGATCTGTCTATCGCCAAGATTCCTCCTTGCAAAACTGAGGTCAGGGAAACTGCCCACGAAGGAGGGAAAGTCAACAGGAGCTACAGCAGCGTGGGATCCTGCCCACGGCTTGGGAATGAGTGAATTCCTTATTGAGACATAGAAAAGGAAAGCAAGGCTGCCAGAAGACATGGCTGAGGACAAGGGTGATGGCCAGGAGGGCTGACAGGTCCCAGGCCTTTGTCTTTGCTTCATTTGTCACTGCTGCCAGGGGAGACAGCCCTACTAGAAAGCTGATAAAAGTCCTACCAGAGCGGGCAGTGGAACTGGGCTGGCCATCCTCACCAGGCCCCCCAGCTCCTCTAGGACCCATGGACAGATGGGGTCCAAATCACAGGGCTCCATATAGAAGAGGGGAGACACCTTCACTCACCAGTGTTCATGGAGATGAACGAGAAAGACAGGTCCCTCCCTCCCAGACTTGTTCCCTGAGCCCAGGGAATGTTCTAGCTTTGTAAGAGATTAATGCTCAAAACAATAGTCATTAAACAAATGACTGATGATTGAGTGAACCTGACTTTCTAAATATGCACAGAAATAGAGTGTGCCTACAACGGAATGAGTCCCACACTGCAGCTGTTAGCAGAGCCAGGGAGGGAGAGCAGGGGACCCAAAGCAATTAAAGAGGGCCAAGGGTGATGTATTCTGGCTACTCCCCTCCTCCTTACCCTCAGCCCCACCAAGCTGCTGTCTTGACCCTTGGCATCTCTCCGTCACTCCTCTTGGAACATCTTATGAAGAGGCTCTGGTCAGTCAGGCCTGGCACAAGGTCCAGACTGTCACTTGGCAGAGGAGTCTTAGGAAAATGCTCTTACCCTGTCTATGTCTTGGTTTCTTTATCTGTAGAAGAGATGGTACTGTGGTCCTCATGGGTTTGCTGTGAGAATGAAATGCTGTGCTTGATGCCTGCCCTTCCTGGGGCAGCAGCAGGGCGTGCAGGGGGGGCGTACACCAGAAGGGGCGCCTAGGAGCAGGGCAGCTGAGACACACCCACCATCTGCAGGGTTACAACACAGGCAAAGCTTTTGTCTGTGGCTCCGGCTGCTCCAGATTGCCACTTCCTTCCTGACAAATCTGCCCACTGTCCTACTTTCTCCTCCCCAGCTTTGGCCTGGGTCAGAGACTTGGTCACTTGTGTGCGTGTTAGTGAGTCAGTGAGCAGGAGTGTACTTGTGGATGGGTGTGTAGAGAGAGAAAACAGACACTTGAGGGTTTGTGTATTAGACTGTGTATGTGTGTGGGGGTGTGTATGAAACAGAGTACTCATGCTTCAGGGTGTGTGTGTGTGTGTGTGTGTGTGTGTGTGTGTGTGAAATACAGAGAATGCACATACTTGAGCTCCTCTGTGTGTGTTTGTAAAAGAAAAGAGCATGAGATTGAGCTGTGTGTGTGCCGAGGAGAAAGAAACCACGTTTGTGTTTGTGTGTGTGCCTGTGTGTGTGTGTGTGTGTGTGTCAGAGAGAGAGAGAGACAGAGAGAGAGAGACAGAGAGAGAGAGAGAGAGAGAGAGAGGGAGGGAGACACACAGAGAGAGAGAGGGAGGGAGGAAGACAGAGAGGGAGAGAGAGCTCTGGGAGGGAAAGATATAGCTTGATAAAGATGAAAGGTCTTCTTTTGTCTCAACAATTTGTCTTCCCATTGTGGGGGCAGGGCAAGTTGAGAGTCTCCTTCAAAGAGCCCCACCCTCCCTCACCCCACCCTGTTTGGCCACCATTACTCTTGGCATCTCTGAACAAGAATGGCCCAGCTCAGCCATTTTTATTTCTGTGGAGTTGGGGGAAGCTGTGGCTGTCCCCAGTAGGGTTTGGTTGGGCACTCCCAAATGGGGTGGGGGAGATGAGGTGATTCTAGCCCCTTGGCAGGAGGCTGTGGCCCAGCCCTTCCCTACCTCTGTACCTGGTGCAGAAGTGATCCTCCCTCGCAGGCTCTCAGTGTTTGCCGAATGGAGAAGCCACTGCAGTTCTCAGTGCTAAGGGAATTCTCACTGCAGGCAGTGGCTGACTCCCTCTGTGTGTAATCACACAGCTTTTACCCAAGTAGCAGCAGCTCACCATTCATATGGTTCCACTGCCTGACACCAACTGGGACCTCAAATACTTCTAAACTCAGATATTTGCTGAACCAGCCAGTGGCTTGCTCACTTTCAATTTGTTTCCCACTTTTCTTGAGTGAATTGCAGGTGTAGACCCAGACATACAGCAAACCTTCTAGCTGGAGGCCACACATTGACTTTGGAAGTGACCAGAAACTCCATTGTCCTGCAGGTAACTGGAATGTGTGAAGCAATGGGTGATGAGAAATAGGAGGTATGGAAGGACAGGCATGTGTACTCAAGGATTTAAAGCAAAGTAAAACAAAACAAACAAAGAAAAAGAAAACAAAAAGGTGAGCCTGTATGTTTGCAACCAATTTCAGAAATGAGACTCTGTATCTCCCATTATACATCTGGGGAATGTTAATTATGCTGTTGGAAAGGTAGCTGGTATCGAGGTTGATGGGGAGAATCCTTCTGGTTTTGGATGAAATGAAGGTGACCTTGTAAGACATCTTTCCCCCATTTGTCCTAGTGTGTACCTTGCCATTTCCCACTCAGCAGAAAACCTTCAGAGCTACAGAAGGGTAGCAGAGTCAGACAAAGATAGAAACTTGAACCGGGCTACACTATGAGCTGTGTATCCGGGGATGAGAGGCTAACCTTTGATGGGTTTCTCTACTTTGTGGGTTAAGTAGGGAAATTATTAGTAACTTAAAGATAATGTATGGAACGTTTTCTGTGCAAACTATTTACTACATATTATTTAATCATTACAACAAATCTATGTAGTATCACTGTTACCTTTTTTATTTAGGGACTAGATAACTGAGACCTACAGAATTTAAATTTCTTCACCAAGAAAGGTCACACAGCTAAAGTCTGGTTGATTTTGGACTGGAGTGAGGGCCTCTTGGTTCCAAAGCTGATGTTCCTAAGCATTCTGCTGCTCTCTGACTGTACATATTGTGAAGCGTGGAGGAAATTTTCTCTATGAGGTGTGCACAGGATGGGTATTTCATACGTAGACAACACTTGCTCAGTGTGGTCCTGACTGCCCTTCTCCTCTTCCTGGTTCTTTGAGCATGTTCCCATGCTAAAGGCTGCCAGAGACCTTCTCTGGGATGTGCGCAAGAACTTTACATGTGGTGGGAAAACTCCTTGCCTACCGAAAACATCCTGTAGTCAGGACCAACCCCACACACACTGAAGTGATGGGGAACCTCCCTAGGGGACCTCCTGGTTTCCACCAATGGGGATCCCTCAAAGTCTTCCTAAGGCCACTCGGGGTTTATGCTACAATTCTGAGATTAACCCTCATTGCCTCTGTGTCTGAATAAGCAAGGATCTTCAAATAATAAGGGAGGGTGATTTATATAAGGGCGGTTTGTCTTCATAATCAATTTATTAAATGATCATTGCTGCTTTTTTTCCCCTTCATATTTGTCATCGCTGAAGCAGCAATTGGTGTTTGAAACCTGTGCTGGTATGTCATCAAACGAGGTGCCATTTCGATCAAGCCAAGGTGGCCTGGCAGCCAGTCACCCAGAGCTGAGAGAAAACCAGAGCTCAAGCCCAGGCACAGATATGGGATCAGCCAGGAGGGGGGCCAGACTTCTGGATGAACTCACACTCTGTCTACTTCATCATCCACGTAAGGGAGTCCCTATCAAATTTGTTGATCTCCTCAGACAAGCACAGGTAAGATATACATGGCAGGATGGTGGGCTAGCAGTTCATTACAGTGAGTTAATTATCATCACCTCCAACGGCAATTAATAACAATTAAGGTTCTTGTAATAACATGAGTACTGTGTGTAGCTACTCTAAAAGCTGTGGGAAGATGGAATGGATGGTTTTGAAATACCAGACTTTGGAGGATCAACAGTATTGACCTAAAGTAAAGAGTAAGAAAGAAGCTGCCAGGCTGAGCAAACGGAGTGGCATATGCTCCAGGCATGTGGTTCACTGCCCCTTGTCCCTCTTGGCTGGGGTAAGGAAACTAGGCAGGGTAATAAGCTAGCTACATAGAAAGGCTGCTTTGGCCAGGGAGGTGAATTTCAATGTCCTTAGTCTGTGCCTGCATTTTCCAATTCCAGTGTGTTCTTCAGACTACTGTCTTTTTACAGCAGCCTGTGCCCTGAGGTCAAACTGATGCTGCTCTAGGGTGACACAGGACACCGGGAGAGCTCCAAGACAACGCGCTTTCTTCCCAGGTCTGTTGTGAAGCTCAAGCAAGAGAATCCATGCAATGCACTTACAAAAGTCTGCATGCCACTCAGCAAGCATTCCACAGAGTTCAGCTCTTTAGACAAATACAAAGAAACAAGGCTTCTCTTCTCCAGTGAGGCAGGCTACAGAGACTTTGGACTTCCTCCCGTACCTTCTTAGGGAGAGGCTCTTTGGGGATCCCAGGCTGCTCCACGTCCTTGGAGCTCAGCTTCCTGAGCAGTGAATAGAAGAGCAATCCTCATTACAGGAGCTAGTTTGTTGACAGAGTTCAATGGAAGGATGAATTAAAGCATCAGATGTACCATAGGTTCTCAAACCTTCATGATTACATTCTTTTTCCTTGTATCTTTTCAGGGTCAAAGTTAGAGGTCGGTGATCCATCAGCCTTGCTTTATACTAAAAGGTGTCAAGCCTTTGTCACATGGGAAAGAAAGCTTTGATTCCTAGACTCTAGGGGTGCACTACAAGCTGCACTAAAAAAAAGCATATATATTTATATCCCAAAACCCTTTAGAGCTAAACTAGTCCAGATTGTCATTCAAGACTTTATCTGACAGTTTTCTACATATAGCGGTAGGTGCTACCCTCTGGAATGAAGAGTTTTTGCAAAAGCAGCAAATGCTTTCTTTCTCTAATAAATTGCCAGTTTCTAAGGTTACAGACAGTCTATAACATTTTCATTTTTTGGAAGATTCTTTTCATTTATCTTGGGAAATTACAGAAATGATGAAAATCTAAATATAATTTAATGCAAATATATTCAAATAATTATAGGAAGATAAATGGACAGGAAGTCAAAGCCTCCTGCATGTACTAAAGAGGAAAGATGGGAGAGAAGGGGCTGTCTTTGCCCTGAGAAAGCAGCCGTGGGGTTCTCAGGATGGTTTTACATCCATCCTGCCTCAGTACTAAAGCTCTGCCATTGGATCTCCTGGGCCAAAATACAACGGAAACGCTGAGTCAAACATTTTGTTTAGCTACCTAAGGATATTTACCCAATCTCCACAAGCATCATGCCTTTATGATATGTGACATCAATAGCAGAAATAGTATGATACAGAATTGGAATAAAGGGTGGCAATTTAAAATGCATGTGAGTGTATGGGAAGCTCACTATTAGGTCCATGTTTCTTCCCCAAGTTTGCTTTAACAGATCACATCGCCAGGCTTTCAGAAGTCTCAGCTGGGGAAGCAGCTGTCCCGGCTGAGTCCAGGAGGAGTGTCTAACTGGGGAGCACTGAGCAGCTAGTGAAGGTTTCCATGCCTACTGCCCTCCAGCAGGGATCTGTAAACCTGAGGGCATGAGGCAGCTCCCCTGTAGGCTGCTGTTTTCCGTGTGCAAATGCTGTTGAGCTAAATGACTGCACCTATGATTAGGAAATGACCACACCCCCAGGGAAGGTTGTGGTGATTAAAATGTCTAAGGGATGTGAAGGCACTAAATGAATAGGGACCAAGGGAAGAAACATTAGTACCAGGAATTGGTCTAAGACTGGGTGCTGGCAGCTCCTGAGCTAGACCACATAGAGCCATGGAGGCCCAAGTGGTCAGGTTGAACCTTCCCAGGTATGTTAGTCCATCAGATATGGGCAGCTTGTGAAGAATAGGAAGCTTTTATCCCCTATTTTGGAGGCTGGGAAGTCCAAGATCCAGGTGCTGGAAGGTCAGTGTCAGATGATGGTCTGCTTTTGAGTTTATAGATTGTGGTCTTCTCACTGTGTCCTCGCAGGGCAGAAAGGGTGTGGCACTCTGCACTTATAAGGTCACTAATCCTATTAGTGAGATCTCTACCCTCATGATCTAATCACCCCCCAAAACCCATCTCCAAATACCATCACTTTAGAGGCTATGATTTCCACTATGTACATTTCTTGAGGACATAAATATTCAAACCCATTGATCCATATGAGATGGTTAATTTTAGGTCCCCACTGGACTTGCCTCAGGGTTCCTAGATTAAACATTGTTTCCAAGCACATCCTTGTGGTATTCTCAGGTGGGATTAGCACTTCCTTCACTCAGTAAAGTCAATGGCCCTCTCTAGTGTGGGTGGACACTGTCCTACCGGCTCAGAGCCTGAATAGAACCAAAGGTAGAGGAAAGAGGAATTCTCTGCTTCCTTCCTGGTTGCTTGTTCAGAGATAAGGATCTTCTACCCTTGGTGTTCCTGGCACTCAGCCTTAACGTCCAGACTGGGAAGCTCTGTCTTTCATTCCCCTGGTCTCAGGCCTTTAGACTTGAACCAAATCATACCTGTGGCCTTCCTGGGCCTCTGTCTTGTACATGGTAAGCTACTGATTCTATGTGATGAAAGCCGTAACGGACATACCATGCCTGTCAAGTACCTACAGACAGCTACGGTTGCTGGAGCAATTATCCCGGGCCAGGCATCCGCAAAGAGCTTGCTTATTAACCATCAGAGCAACTTTTATGTACTCGTTACATATGAAATTATGTCCTTGCTTAGTTCTAGACAATTAGTATTGGGAGAAACAATATCTTTTTTTAAACCACTATAGACTCATAACTTAGTCACAGTCAGAGTTGAATTAATATTTTGACTTGAAAGCTAAAAAGGAGATTTCTCATAGGCTGCATAATGACTTAGGAACATAAGTAGGATTGGAAGTGAAGCCTATCTCCATAGCCATGCTGGGCATGCATTACTCTGACCCTAAGCTCTGGAGAATACTGCACCATGTCAAACCCTTGGGAAGCAGGTGAGCAGCCAGCCTTTATCTTTTGGTCCTGCCCAAATCTCAGTGTGTCCCAAGGTTATCACTCCTTCTTTGCACTACTTACCCTGGTAGAAGAGATGCTAAGAACTGATGGATCCAGACCCACATTCAACTGTTAACTCTGTGAGAAGGCTTTTCAAATTGCACTTGTACTTGTGACCTCCTGTGCATAGCCCAGGTGATGGTGATGACATGAAAACACACACTTTGGATAGAGATTATCTGGACCTGAGTCTTGCCTCTGCCTAATATAAGCTGTGCATGTCACCTTCAGTGGGTCACAGAGCTTCAGGTTCCTCATTTGTATGAGGAGGTAAAGTAGCTCTTACTTTGTCTAACACTTCAAGATGTTTCAAGTACAAAGTCAGTGCACTGGCCTGTCAGGAAGCATTATCGAGTGCATGGGGCTGGGCAAGTGTTAGCTATTCATTTCAGTGGTCAGGAAAAAGTCACCGTCAGGAGACACAAAGGAATGGGCAGCTCAGATGGGGACAGAAATGTGGCAGATACTGTGGGCATCTTAGTGAGCTCTTTCCTAACTAGGACTTGTAACTCATTCATTCTTTTCTCTGTTTCATTCAAAACAGGCTTACCAAGTGGCCATTCAACATTAGGCAATGAACCCTGAAAATACTGAAATAAGGAAGACTGACCCTATCTCTTCCCCTAGGAAGCTCATTATCTGTTGGGGATATCAACAAGTGAATTAAAAATTCATATATCACCCATCATGCTTTGGTCACATACAAATATGACTGCTTTGTACTAGTCACTCAAAAAAGTCTGTCTTGCTCATTTCCCCCATCCCCTGTGACAGTGCTCACATTTACAACCTGTATTTCCTACTTGGTTTCTGTGTGTGGCCTCTTATTGGTTATTTTATCAGGCATTCTCATCAAATTCATTGTACAAAGTTTTATTCTTCTCATTTCCAGTTTTACTCTCTTTCTTCAAACTTTTCCATGGGTCTTTGTGCTTTGGAGGTTTCAGTTTTGTCTCAAAGCAATAATTAAGTCTAACACTCCCATGGTACATACTATATGCCCAGTGCTGTTCCAAGCACTGAACGCACATTAACTTAATTAGCAGTCTATTTGATCTCTCCTCACTTGTCTCTTTAGCATTTTTCTACTTTCACCAAGTTCTTATAGTTCTTACAAATTTTAAACCTTTGATTAAAAGCATAAAATTATATAAGTAATTAAATCTTCAGAAACACATACAATTCTTATAAACTGCTCCCCGCTCTATACTGCTTTACACAAAGTGACACATTTACTGTTGCATGTTGTAGAAATTCTGAGTTGATTTAAGAAAAGATTAGAAAGAATAGTCCAGAAACACATGCATTTCTTATAAATGCCCAGGAGCTATTTGTGCCCTGCCGGTATCAATATTTATAAGCTGATGTGGATTTCATGTGACCCCTGGCTGAGGTGCCTGTATGACAAACCCCGCACCATTAATTAAGGGAAGGTACATGAGTCCTCCAGTGTGTTACGATGGTGGGGATGGTGGAGAAAGATATGACAGGTGTCAGGGGAGACTGTCCAGGAGCTAATGCAGCCTTAGTAAGAAGGGGAAGAAGGAAGAGTTTGCAAACAAAACACAGAGATGTGTTTTCTCTGGAGGTTGTTAGTCCAAGATCAAGATGTTGCAAGGTTTGGTTTCTCCTGAGGCCTCTCTCCTTGGCTTGACAGTGGCTGTTGTTTGGCTGTGTCCTCACTGGGTCTTTCCACCTATAGATACATCCCTGTGCCTCTTTCTAAGTCCAAATGTCCTCAGCTTGTGGGAATATGAGTCACACTGGAGGAGGGCTCAACCATCCAACCTTATTTATCCTTAACCTCCTCCTGGAAGGACCCAGCTCCAAACACAGTCACACCCTCCTGGACTGGGGGTGAGAGTACCAACACAGTAGTTCTGGGGGAACACAGTCCTGCTTATCACAAACATCCTCAAGACTTGGTGCCCACAGCACCCACTCCGCAAGAACTTTCCAGATTTCCCTGGCAAGGTTAACTACAGGAGTTCTCAGGCCACGCTGACTGCCCCTGGTGGTCCTACCACATGTGGCACTGCCCTATGGTCATCTTTCCAGACTTCCCTCCTCCCAACCTGGGCCCTCAGTCTAGGAATGCTTCAAGGAGTGGCTGTGTTTCCCCCTGCAGTGGACAGGTGTGGTGGGTGCAACATTATTGATTGAAAAAGAGAAGACCGGACATGGCTGGATTTCTTACTTCCAGCCAGAGGACAGAATGCTGGTGGCCTACCAAGTTCCATTATAGACCTGGCTGGTGTAGGCCCAGACGGAGGATCCAAACACATAGAGAGCAGGTGAGGAGCTACATACACGGCGACTGGCTAGGGGCACAAGTGTGCAAATCATGTGCTGTAGTAAGCAGAGCCTCACGTGGAAGCCGTGGAGCCCTGGCTTAAAGTCCAGTTTTGTCACTTTCTGGCAGGATGAAGATGGGCAAGTCATTCAACTGCAGTTCATCATGACTGGCTTATTAGAAAGTGGGACATTATGAATTAATTGTTAGGAGTGTGTGTTGGTCAAATGAAGAAGCGCATGCTGGCAGCGTGTTCCAGAGCATGGTGCACGACAGGTGACTGACACAGGATAGTAAGAAACCTCAACAGCCAGACAGTCCCAGATGTTCTTGAACACTGCCTAAGCAGTCAGGATTTAGTGCTCCAGATAACTCAAGGGCTCCTCAAATCCTAAGCAGATTTGGAAATACTGGACCTGCCAGAGGGAGGCCTTCAAGATCTATTGGAGCAAAAAAGAAATTGTCATAGCATTACAGATGTTGGTTTTTTTTTTTCCTTTAAAAAATTACATTAGGGCTCCTTGGAGTTCAAATGAAATGCATTCCCTTGATAATACTCAGAGCTTAATGTTCATAACATTTCAGAATAAAAAAATCAGTTCTGTATTTACTTTGTGCTTATTAAACAGAAAAAAGATGAAAGGAGCAAACAGAGGAAAGACAACCAAGATTATTTCCAATTTCTTGAGATACCAAGTGGAAGTACTTGGATGCTCTGATGATGGCATAGCAAAACCTGCAGGTCTATGAGGCTCAAAACCAGAGCAAAAAGCCACTTGGTTCTGTCGTCCAGATGTTTCACGTGTAAGGATACAGACAGCAAAGAACCAAGTAGCAGGGGAATGGACTTCGGATTTCCTTTGTCTTAAGTGTTCAAAGACCTGCAGAACAGCAAAGTAAGAGGAGACCCTGAGAGGTCATCTGGAACCTGTATAAATTTTAAAACTCCTCATCACGATTATTTTCAAGATGGAAGAGGAAATTTTTTAATGTGCCTCAAGAGCTCATTCAGGTGTTTGACAACCCTTACCTCAGGAAAATTGTCTTTCACTCTAAGCTAAGTAACGATGTCTGCTGAGAAAAAAAAAATTGCCGGCCATTTGTTTCACTTACAGAGTTGATAAGTTGGGGTTTACTTATATAGAAAGAAAAGTGCAACTTACTAAGTGTCTGACAGAGAATGTAAATCTGTCTTTATAATCAGAAGAATGGGGGTTCAAGTCTCAGTGCTGATGCTTGCCAGCTAATTACTTCTCCTAGTGTACTACTCTCCTCCTTTGTGAAAGATGGCACCCCGGGTGCAAAGCATGCTGGGTGTTCTGCACAGGGTGGAAGAAGGAGCAAAGCCCACAATGGCTTCACTGCCTACTCTGCCAGTTTTAAAAGCTGAAATGTCCATAGATTCGTTGGTGTGCTATTTTATTTTTTAAATCTTAAGTTTATGCCTGTAGAATAAGAGTTATTTAATTATTCAACTTATATGAAAAGACAAATTACTGCAAAGCCTGTAAGTCTAGACAGGTCCAGGCCATTGTGGATGGCCATAAGGCACCTATATGTGGTCTTGGAAGGTATGCAATGGATACTCATATTGCTGTTGAATTTCTGAGAAAGTAGGGTATGGATGTGATAGTATGGAAATGAACACAGGGACTTCGGCCTTAGAGTCATCAGCTACTCATAACAAAAGCTACCGTACGTATACAGCTGTAGACAGATCAAGTGCTTCCTGCAGTGGTGGGTGGGGGAGAGAAGAAGAAATTTAGCTCTATGTTAACCCAAAATCTACAGTCTTTGGTGGGATGGGCATGGGAGGAGAGGTAGTTCAAAGGAGAACTCCTCAAAATGATCAAATAAGAAGGGAGATTATTTAAAGATAAAATTCAGAGGGAAATATTTGGGGTCAGCTTTTATGTGTCTCCTTATCATTCTTCTGTCCAGTCAGAAAAGCTAAGAAAGAACTTTTTCTGCGGCAAGAAAAGCGTGCACCACAGTGTGTTTGCAACTCGATGCTGTCACTGATCCACTTTGTATTTTAGCTGGCACATTTTTAAAAAAGAGCAAATAATATTTGACTTTCAGCTTCCATGATTAATTATGCTTTTTTTAATTTGTATGCTATTTATTTAATAGTTGGAATATTTATCTTATTGATGTTTATCTGTCAATTTATATTAGTTATAATTTCCCCAGCATTTGTTTGTAAAGTAGTCATAGTTTTTCTTGAAGTATTTTAAATAATTTAGTTTCCTTGAGATCTTTTTCTTATAAATTCTGCAGACCTTCAAAACAAAATGTTCATAGCATATAAAATAATACCGAAAGAGCAACTGTTATCTTGCTGCATCGTTCAGAGCACTAAGATAGAGTCGTACAATCTGAGATGAACTCAAGCTTGAGCCCATCAATGTACCTGGGCCCAGCGATAGGATCAGTGGCCCTAAGAAGAGGTCAGTAGTCCAAATCAGCAAGAGCAAGGAACCTACCTCTGGCTGGTGATTCCCATGCCCCAGATCAGCAGGACGCAAGGCCCTCTGGTAGGCTGTGGGGAAACATCCACAACAGGACAGGTATGGAGTAGTCCGGGAGGTAGGACAGACTGCTGTCATGTGTAAGTAGGAAATTAGTATTTGAGTTATGCAGCACCTGGGGAAGTCAGAGACCTGCTACACCTAAATTGCAGAACTGCCGTAAGGTCCCCACGTGACATATAAGGAATTATTATAAGGGGTGGTTGAATGTAGTGCTGCCTGGATGGGTGTGAATCCCAATGCAAATGATTTTAACCTTAGTGTGACTCATTTTTCCTCACCTATAATATGGCTCCAACAGCAGCACACTCTGTTGACTGAGAGAATTGAGGGACTCATACATGTAAAGGATGTAGAATGATAACTAGGTATGGTAAGAGTTTGGGAGGCTATGTCGTTCCAGACGAATATGATTATCAGGGTTGCTATTTTGAACCTAAGACTTCCCCAGCCGATCCCAGGGTGAAAGATGGGTAAAGCTGGAATTTAAGAACTGTAGCATCGAAATTGCCCTTCAAATACTAAAGTTTATATGCACAGCACAACGTATCCATAAACATTGTTATTTTATGCACACATCGCAAGCATACCACTATTCTCTTATAAATTACTACCTGACAATTTACTAAAATACTGCAAAATGTTATTTTAAAAAAACACAGAAAAGAAACTCTAGTCATTAGCGGCATTTGCCATTTAGCAGTATTTGGTATAAGCGGACTTCAGCCGTCTTGGACCCAGAGCTACCACAAGGATGGAAGGTTTCGAGGCATCCCTTGAACTGCA